ATGTCTCTGTGCGCACACCTGCGCATGCACGCATTGGCTTGCGCATTGGCTTGGAGTGTGTGTATACAATGAATGTCTCTGTGCGCACACCTGCGCATTCATGTTTGGATTTGGAGTGTGTGTATGCAATGAATGTCTCTGTGCGCACACCTGCGCATGCACGTTTGGCTGGTCCATGCGCAAGTTTTGCAGAGAGACATTCATCACATACTCCCCCTCCAAGTACACGCGGCAATGATAGCCGAGGTCATCAGCGAGGAGCTCGCTCACCAGCGTTTCCTCCACTACAACGATGCAGCCATCGACCAACTGCAGCAAGTGTGCCGCAACGCACCTGACGTCGAGAGGAGCAAGAAGGAGGAAGGAGAGGAGCACAAGTGTGAGGTGTGTGTCCAAGCCAAGGTGAAGATTCGGCCCTACCTTGGTGATGCCTTGCGTCATTCGGCACCTGGTGATCTCATGCACGTCGACCTGGCACAGATCAAACAGCTCAGCGAGAGAGGATTCAAGTGGCTCATGGTCATGATGGACGACTACAGCCGCTATGTGCAGGCCTACTTCCTAAAGAAGAAGTCCACCGCACCGAAGGCGTTCATGCACTACTGCATGGCCAGCCGCATACCCAAGGCAGTGAGGACCGATGGAGGCGCCGAGCTCATCGCCGGTACGTGGAAGGCATTCTGTGAGGAGAACCAGATCCGGCAAGAGAAGAGCCTGCTGCGTCATCAAGCACAGAATGGGGTAGCAGAGCTACCTGCGCATGTACGCGTGGACTTGGAATGTGTGTATGTCATGAATGTCTCTGTGCGCACACCTGCGGATGCACGTTTGTGCGCACACCTGCGCATGCACGTTTGGACTTGGAGTGTGTGTATGTCATGAATGTCTCTGTGCGCACACCTGCGTATGCACATGTGGACTTCACATCACAAGATTGAAAACATGCATGGATGTATGCAGGTCACTCCGTCCCATCCATGTGTGAAATCAAGGCGTGCACCAACGCTGCCCTACAACACCCACCACACGTGAAGTAAGAAAATGACCCTCGCGATGCGTCAAGAAAACCCCTCTCACTTGGCTGTCGTCAGAAAACACATGGGGGCAAACCGATGGGTCTCTCTCTCTCTTCTCTGGCAAACGACAACAAGGCACACCGAGAGGAGTCATGAGATCAGCCTATTCTCTAACATACACGAGGCCTTGGATCACCACATGAATGCATGTATGCATGCTTGCCTGACGTCATGAATTGCATGAGTGTGTGTGAGGCCATCATGAACGCGGGAGGGCGAGGAAGGAGGGAAAAAGGGGAGGCAGAGACATGGGCCATGCATGGGAATGACGACACAAATACCACCTTCAACGCACGCGACATCGAAGTGGACGAACGCATTGGAACGCACTCATGAAAGGTTCCGTCAGAACGGTCCTTTCAGCAGAGTGAAGGTTTGTATCGAGGCAAGAGAAGCTCTGATTCTTTTGAGTTTTTCTTCTTTCAGACCTCCGCTTCTTCCCGTGTCTCGCTCACTTTCTTCCGCCCCACGGTTGTCACTAAGCAATCAGTATACAGCTGCGGATCGACTATGGTCCATGATCGCCAAAATGTCTCTTCTTCGCCAAGGAAAGACTCTTTCAAAGAAGAGGGCATTGCCGCCGTCGCGAGGAGCGTTTCACGACATATCGCGTTTCACGACCTCCGTTCTTTTGCTCGCACTGCCGCTGTGCGACTACTTTTGTTTGTTGCGTGTTGGATGGATTCGCTCTCGCTTGTCTATCGCCCTCGCGCGTGCGACTAGTTACTGTCTGCGTGGGGGAGGGAGGGGGGGGTTTGCGGGGCTGGGATGTGCTGATGGGGCGGGGATCGATCCCTCCTCCCCTTGAGCCTGTTTTACTCTGCGTGCTCATGGGACTGTATTTATATGAGTGTCACGGACACACAGACGAGTGTTACGATTAATGCAAGTTGTCATCTTTTGTTTGTTGCGTGCCTGCTTGCTCGTTGGTGGCACTGCATCAGTTGCTTTCACGCCACCCGCCCCTCTGCACCCACACACATACACACACACACACACACACACACAAAATGTGTATACACATACGTAGTGTGTGTGTGCGGGCGGGTCTGTGTGTGTGTAGGTGTGAGTGCCAGGATCAAGAGATAGTCACTGCCTTGCTTTTCTTCCCACATCCATCACCATCCATCACCACGTGATACCTATGCTTTTGCCACATCCGTGTCTGTGAAATGCAGTCCGTCCATGCGACAAAGAACTGACGAGTGCGTGCGAACTCTTTCCTTTTGCCTCGGGTCGGAGGCCCGTTAAAGGCTAACGAACGAACGAACGAACGAACGACCTCGCTAAGCAGATTTAGTCGTGATGGACCAACAGGCATGATAGGTGGTCGCTCGCAAGTCCTGGAGGAGCCTCGTCGCCAGGAGCCCGCTTACAGCTCACGTTTCATTCTACATAAATGATGAGGAGTTTGATTGTCCGCGAACATCGGTAAAATTTAGTGGGAAGGTCGGCCGCGCTGCAGGACATTACATGACATCGGTGCACGTGCACTGGGGGCAATGGGAATGGTTGGATGGTGTCAGCCGCCACTGCGCGCTACGCATCCGGTGCGTCCCTTCTCGGAAAAGAAAAAGGCGACCATGGCCGGCAGGCACCAACCAAAGGTTCCCCACGTTCGTTCTCTCTTGCTGCATTTGTGCAGGCCTCCTAGAACCCGGCGGCATATATGAGAGGAAGAGTTGCGGTGGGTCATGTATGCACCCGCACATATCGTCGAGATTGGAGCATATGAGGCAGCGGGTCAGCAGCAGCACCCGGCTTGCTTCCGAGCATCATTTGCACTGAGGCTCTCTTCCTCGATTGTCTGGTAGATCGGCGAAGCGATCCGCATGCGAATTTGAAACAGTCATCCGAATTCGAAACGTGAGGGAGCGGAGCGTAACGGAAGAGAGAGACCAGTAACCCCTCCCCCGCCTGCGTCCTTCCGTCTATCCATCCAGCGCACCTCGTCCAGTCGGCAGCTCTCCCTTCTCTCTCTCTCTCTGATCGCTCATCTCTTCCTTTCCTTCCTTCTCTGAGCCGCTAGCTTCCCTGCCTCTCTCTCGTGATGATGGTGCGCGTGCCAGGGCTGCTGGTCCTCGCCCTGGCCGTGGCCAACTGTCAGCTCCGGAGACTGCCGCCTGAAGGTGGGTGAGCTGACTGCACGACTGGCCGCCGAGAATTGCTTGCTTTGATGTTGTTTTCTTTGTTCTTCCGTTGCTGCTCCTTCTTCGCGCAGACGGTGACCAGGTTGACTTGTCTTTGGAGGATTCGCCGGCCGAGGGCGACAACGCGCCTGCTCTGAATGCGACGCAAGAGATCAGTATGTATTCACAGATATAAACAAGGAAACATGGCTGTTCTCTATGTACTTTTGCGTGTGCGTCAGAGCGCCACTGCACGGCATTCTATTATGCTCGCGTTCGTAAGTCCGATGCCAATATATATCACAGAACAGCCACATACGCGGCTATGTCGATCATTGTTTGCCTGTCTTCCTTGTGTGTGCGATACGCAGTTGAGGCGGGCTTGGAAAACAAGAAGATTGGTCGCTTCACCGCCGAGGGAGAATGTCCCTGGTATGCTCCGGATCGCTGTCGTCGGCGAGCGCGAGATGTCGCCCACGAGTGCATGAGGGAGCACTGGGCAACCAAGGATATACCTGTGGGGATCCCATCGGTGTGCAAGCCGGGACACTACTCGAATAAGAAAGTGGAGGAGGATTACAAGGCCAGCTCTCCCCTCGACACATGGCTGCGGGAGACTCTCTGCGCTGTCTACAAGGAGACCGCACCGAGCAAGGTCGAGATCAAAGCCAAGACGACAGGCAATGATGGGTGCGGCAAGACAGAAGACCTGGGTGAGCTGCAATTAAACTGCGAGGACTTCCAACATGAGTTCCAAGGTGATTGAGGTCTAGCGACATGGGCCACCTAGCGGCATTACTGCCATGCAACTGGTCAGCTCATTCCTTCTTTCTCTGGTCTTTCTTGCTCATGCAAAGGTTACGGAGACACGACCACCACCGCTGCTCCGACCACCGCCGCCCCGGACTCCAGCGATGAGCCATCCACTACCACCAAGAGGAACGGCATGTCCTACGGTGAAAGCATGCCCATTGAGAACGGCGAGGCGTCCGCTCCGACCGATGAAATGTCCCGGGGTGAGGACGAGCATCCAAAATGACGTGCTTTGATGATCGTCTGTGTCTGTGCACAGAGAATACAATTCCTCAGTTTGAGATCGAGATCGATGATATCATTCCGGATGGTGGAGGAGAAGACAACCCCAGGAACCCCCCCCCTCACGACGCTCTAGGGAACACTACAAGTGCTGAACATCATGAGTTTTGTACGTGGGCCAACCTGTATGTCATGGAGTCGGCAAATGATTGTGGGGGTGAAAATGAGTACCACATGAGCGTGACGATTGGCTTGGGGGGCCTCCCAATTGGACAAGGGGGAGAGCAAACTTACAGGTCGTACTTCGAGCCTGCCGACGATCGAAACTTCGTCGACACAGGTAACGCGCATTGATTGCATTGATTGCCTGTCATATGGCATGATCGATGTGTATTGATTGCCAGCTAATCCACATGGAAGGAATTGGCCCTTGGGGTGGAGACGGATCTGTTATACTCGCTTCCAGAAGATGCCCATTCGGGTCATAGTAGAGCAATGCGTACAATCCATTTCAGATTGCTGATGTTCCTCTGTTCATTGGATGTTCTTCAGATTCATATCAGGGAAGACGACTGGCCCTTCTGCGGAGGCCGTGATGAGAACCACCGGTTCCGCGTCGAGCTGCACGAGCTGGACGAGCTACGTCCCTACGAGCGTGGACATAAAGTCTCTGCGGCCAATGTCGGAACGTGGAAGGTGATCTATACCTGGGGCCCCAAACCCTGAGGACGACACCTCTGCGCAGCAGAACACTCAGAACACTTGTCCGATGACACACGCGCATACATGAGAGGGGGAGGTCTATCTTTGTCTTCCACGTGTATTTGTGCGCACCAACACACGTATACATTGTGCACACCAACACATATACATGCGTCTTTTCGACTTCTTTTTCGACTGTGTCCAAGTGTGCTTCTGCTGTGCTGGCGATGCATGAGTGCTCTCCGACACACACATGCGAAGCGGGCATGTCTGTGGGTCTTCACTTACGCGTCAGCTGACAATTAGATTCTTCCATCTCTCTGCTTTTTTATGCTGATGCAAATGATCTGTTTCTTGATTGACTCATCCATGGGTATTGTGTGCCGTGCATGCCATCCATATGTCGTGGGGCCGTGCGTGTCTTGCGTGTAAGTGTGGCGGTCTGCCGGTCAGTCGGACTCGAATTGGGAGTGGCGGACCGGTCGGCTGCCCGCTTCATGCGCACATTAACACATACTCCTTCCCGTCTTGCCTCTTTTTCGCCACGATAACTCCGACCCCGACACTGAAGCGGTATTGGCGGAGTGCAGCTTTTGATGAGGCTGTAGTTGGTTGTCTTGTGCTCTGCTCAGACCATCCAATACGGGGGTGATGGGCTAGATCAGCACAGGTCGACTCAAGCACGGGGACTCGAGAGCGATTGACTGAATACGTGTCAAACGTGAATGTCCACTAGGCAGTGCCGGTCATGCAGCGAGCTCAACCAATGGGCGCTGTGAGCGTTGACAAGGCAGGGAACTGCCGCTGCCAAACTCGCAGACGACCGGCAAAAGGAAACAACACGCCTGAGGACATTGCATGCACAGCCAGCCAGACGGACAGATAGATTGACAGACAGACGGACAAGCTGTGTGTGTCGTGGTGGTACGTCTGTCTGTCCAACTACGCACCAGACTGTGTGAAGAGTACTCGAACGAAAAGCGATACGATAGAGTGGTGCGCTGAACAGCCTGCCAGAGGCACCACACGAACAGCACACCAACAGGATAGTGACCACGTGCATACCAGCCATCCAGTCAGTGTGTGCACTCGTACGTGTGTGTACGCTTGCGCACCAGATAGTGTTGTGAGAGCACCCACAGGGAACAGCGACGCGACAGAAGAGTGTGAAAAGGAACCTGCCACACCACACCACGACGAAAGCACAACGGCCGCGCACAGCCCACACACGAACAAACGAATATGCGTCCACTTTCGTGCCCTCGTCCCTTTGCGTGTTTCCACGCGCATGCATACCAGAGAGGTAGATAGGCGACTCACGCGAAAGAGAAACCGATCACAGGGCCCATGAGGGTGTTATACAGCAGCGAGAGGGCGAAAAGCAACGCGGAGAAGGCAGCACGCGATCTACGAGACGGTGGACACGTTACACGCAGCCATAACGTCAGGCCCGGTTGTATTGTGCGCACAAAAGAGAACGCAAAGCAACACGCAGGACACCCACTAGTGGATGCACGACAGGCGTCGCACATGCAAATCTGTACAGCAAGTCAGCCGGATAGCCCATCAGCAGCCACTCAATTACTACCCTACGCAACGCCGCCGAAGCTGCCTGAATGGATGGCGAGCAGTCCAACGCACGCAACACATGTCCATGAAACATGCCCCTCACACTTCTGACCTCCCCTTGAACACGGCCAAGGAACGGCAAAAAACGCGTCACACGCATGTCGGCCAGCGTGTCCACACGCTCACTGTTGCGACTGGTGTGTTGTATGTGTGGTTGCTCGTGTGTGCCAACGATGTGTGCGTCCAGAAAAGTGACAGACGAATCAACCTCCTCTATGTCCAGCGCAAGACGGCCGCTGTACGTGCACTCAGCTACCCGACGCAGACAAGACAGGCATAAGAGAGTAGACGCATACAGGTTGTCATCCACGTAACGAGCCGCCCGCCAAGGCAGCTGCGAGAAAAGGCCTTGCCGTCGGCGAGCAAAAATCTGCTCACGACAGAAGTCCCTCTCTCGAGCAGACAGAGCGAGGCCGGTCATCACCATGGAAGACATCCCGCCCATCGGCAGACCCGTGCGCTGGCGCATGACGATCTGACCGATGCGAAAGACACGCCAATGCAATGCAAAACTCATCAGGCGCGCCACCTCATCAAGAGAAGATAACACGTCACGTTTGCTCTTGCTGCGCTGCCTGGTGATGCGACCCTCCACACGTGTGCCTTTTTTCACACATATATACCGACCATGTGTGCGGAGCTTAGCAAAGGTAAGCACCTCCCTGGCTGCAGAAAGTGCGCTGTCTCCATCTATGTTGGTGAACATGGATGGAATGTCTCCCTTGACGAAAGAAAACGCATCCTTCTCGCTCCCACATTGCACACAACACTCCGTGCAAGCCTGCTCTTCACGCATGTTGGACAAGAAGTCAGATAGGAAGGCACCGAGTCCCTTCATGGACC